ATACTTTATATATTCTACGCGAATAATAATATATTAAATTGTAAGTTTAATATCCGCGTTCACGCGTCATCATCAATGGCAAGTCCAATTTAGTCTGAACTGTCATTCATTCGCATACGCACTTCTCGTGATACTTAATACGCGAACATGAGTATTAATTGTAATTAATAGATAGACAAATAGCGACATAGATAGATAGATAGATAGATGTATACATACGTCATGCATATATATATATATATATATGTGTATGTGAATCTCAAAAAATACGCGCCTCTAGAGGAAATTAGTAAGCGTGCGAAAGAAACGGAAAAAGGGGCTGAAAGAGAGAAGGGGGAAATTAAAATAACAAAAAAGAACAAATGGGGACGACAAGTTTTCGAGTGTGTGTGTGTGTTTTATATGTGTTATGTATGTATGATACAAAGAGAAAGAGAGAGAAAGATAAAGAAAGAAAGAGAGAGAAAAATAATGATCCGATGATAAAACACGAAATTATTATTCTTTGTTACTTCTTTATAATTAAAACAATAAAAATGATACTGAATAAAAATACATTAAACGGTTTTATTTGAAAAAAAAAAAAAAAAAGAGAAAAAAAAACACATAGAACAAAATCACAGCACATTTCCCAAGTGATATTTAAAAAATACGATATCGTGATTATTTATTTGTTACATTATTATTATTATTATTATTATTATGTCTTTTCTTGTGATATCCCATCAAATCATTACTTTTTTTATTACGAGCTACGAATAATGTAGTAACAAATTAAATTATTGTGATGGCAAGCAAACGACATTCGCTATTTCTTTTTTATTTTTCAGATAATTGTTTAATATTAATAATAAAAATTGTTATACATTTTTTTCATTCTTAAATACTTCTGTACATTTGTAGTATTTTTCTGTATCTAACAAGTTAAACGAGCGAAGTTGATATAAGTGTACCGTACTAAGAGAGAGAAAGTGAGATAGTATTTCAAATTTTGTTTTAGTAAGAGCGTTATTTAATTGATGATCATGTTTATAGCGAGCGAGAGAGAAAGAAAGAGAGAGAGAGAGAGAGAGAGAGAGTGTGAGAAATAAAACATTCTCGTAATTGAAACGTAAATCAAACGCAAAGTGCACGTACGAGAGTTAGAAGAAGAAAAAGGTTTCGTGTTTGAATACTATTAACCATTATTATTATTATTATTATTATTATTATTATTATTATTACTATTATTATTATTAAATATTGTTGTACACACAGTACAAAAATACAAAATCAAAGAGAAGATGGTAAAGCGAATCAAGATTAAACGATAGAATCTAAAAATGAAGCAGGAAAACAAAAAATGATCTTCGATGATTCAGCAGACGATCGTTAAACAAAAAAAATAAAACAAACAAACAAAAAAGAAGAAGAAGAGAAAACAAAAATGGAGATTATGTAACAGGGTCGTAATTTTAAATCGAATCTCTCGAAGCTTACGTACGACAGCTTGATCGACGCTCGTAAAAATGTTCATTCGTAATTCATTCGAAAGAAAATGAAATGGGAAAGGAAAAGAAATGGAAAGGAAAGATATATTAGCGAGTTATTAGAAAAGAAAATACGAAAATGAAGATTTTTTTGTTTTGTTTTGCTGGATTAAACAAAATTATTTTCTCTATATATACTAAAAAAACGTCTGATAATTCAGCGTTTTGATTTAACACACATTGGATATGTCATCAAATCATTTAAACGTGAAATGTGTTCGATTTTTTCATCGAAATTCATCAGATACAATCGGACATTTCATTTTGAATGATTTCATATTTAACCTACTAACTGAAGATAATAAAATTGGTATAAGTGTACCACCCCCCGCCAGATCAGACAAATTAAAAAAAAAGTAATGGGGAGAAGAAAAAGAGAGAGAGAGAGAGAGAGAACTCGTTTGTTTCGCATTCGCATCCCCATCGTATTATTATTATACGTGTGAAAAAAGAGATTATAAAAAAACATATAAGCGAACTTCATTATTTTTTCTTACCACCTTCTTCAATCGGCTAGTATACGTATTTTACATACACGTACGGCTAATTAAGCGAAGATAAGAACACAAAAAAAAGGAAAAAAAAGAACAAAAAAAAAAGAAAATTATATAAAATAAAATAAAAAGAGAAATATAAATCTCGCGAGCGTATAAATAATATAATAACATACGCGTATGGGAAGTGAAACTTCTTCGTTTTAAAATTCAATTGTTATAGGTGAAAAAAAATGACAAAAAGGTGTGTAGTAATTATTTCATTTTGTGTTAAATTAAACTATATCGAAGGATAAAAACAAACAAAAAAAGAACAAGACAGAATATGGGAAAAATGTAAGGTTTCGAAAGTTAAAATCATACTTTGTCGTTTATCGAATTATTCAAAATTCAAGGCACACGAATTTTTCGAAGAATGTGTTGTGATTCATGCAACTCGAAGAGTATTGTATTTCATCGTTTGTTTTCAATGAAACGATGACGTACAACACACACCCCCGTTGTTGCATCACCATAAAATCCCATATGGAGGGGGTGGGGAGCTAGGATTACATTTCTCGTAACGTTTCCGTAAATCGTTTACAATTTTTGCCTATTATTTTCGTAAGAATCCTTTGAAAAACAAAAATCACCCTCCCAATGAGATCGAAGAAGAAGTTTCGCTTCTCGAATCCCTTGCAACTTACCGGCCCACCCCCAACCCCATTCCCGTCCACCTATCTACCGCTCTGAGAAAAAAAAAAGAAAAAAATAATTCGCTGTTGAGATTCGATGTCAATGTGTCGTACCTATTTCTACAAACCCTTAAAAAAAAAAATAATACGATCTCTCTTTACAATTATACTGAATGTGAATACGTAATAACATTTCGTTAGGACACAAAGTGTTATTAGTATTTTAAATTATTAAAATAGTATTTGGACTTTATAAAACGGGGAGAAGAAAAAAGAAAAAAAGATATATAATAAAAATAGTAAAAAAATAAAAGGAGAAAAAAAAACAACAAACACACACTCACACACACACAGAAAGAAACTATGATGTGGTCTCTCGCGCATCCACGAATGCGCGTCGGGTCGATGATGGCGGATCGAGAGAGAGAGAGAGAGAAAAAGAGGACGACCAACAAACAACAAGCAAAAAAATACTCGATAGAAAAGTATAACCTCCTGGTATATAGAACGCCGCCATTACTTGTGACAGTGGTGCTCATATTCGAACATATCTGATCCGATCCGACCTGATCATGTCCGATCCGTAACCGAAAAAGATAGGAAAACATGAATGACGGGTTTTTTTATTTTACGATGCGACGCGCGATTCCAAATTTCAATTAATATTCTTTTCGATAATTATTATTATTATTTGTTTTTCTTTTTTTAACCGATGATGTGTAAGATACCAATATGTATATGTACTTTTTTTTCTTTTTTTTTTGTTACATTTAAAAAAAGTTTATAATCGCATAATCAAAATGATTGAAAATGGAAAAAAAGTTTGCGAGGAAATGTATAATGTATGCGTGCGTGTATGTGAGAGAGAGAGAGAGAGAGGAAATTATAACGACGCGTTATTCGTGGACGCTTAAAACTAATCGAGCATTCCTCGAAGAGCGCAGCTACACCTCGTACATGAATCTTTAAGATTAAATTATCCTTCCCACATATAGGTATCAAAGTTTGTTAAAAGAACAAAATTAAGGTGTTTATATTAAAGTATAACGAGAACAAACGACGACAACTGCAACAAAAAGTGGAAAAAAGAAAACAATTAAAAATAAAAAGAGACAGAAGAAAAAGAAAAAGAACCGAACAAAAAAGAAGAAGAGAGAGACGATCGATTTGATGATGATTAGCCGATAAATTTAATACGCGATAATTTATCCGTGGACTAGACAGAAAAGTGTTGCCAAAATCTGAAAATCTAATAATATCTGCGTTTACGATGCATAAAAATGTAATTGCACGAAAAACGTATGAAAATCTACGATAGAATTTCTTTGACGGGTGCGGAGAGTTATAAATAATGTGGATATTTATTTTTTTATTATGTCCGAGATTTTTCACGCTAATTAATCGATCATTCAAATTAAATCACTTTATGCAAAACAAAACACACTTTCTACTTATTTTCTGTCTTTTTTTTAATTATTATTATTATTATTATTATTATTTCTATAGGAGGAGTGGTGGAGTTGTAGAAATGTTTCCTCAAATGAAAGAAACTCCGCATTGCGTTTCCGTTTCCGTAACGTCCGGGAATACGTGACGCCATTTTATTTTCCGCTGAAATTTCACCCAACAATTCTTTGTCCGTAGTACCACGGTTACACGCATTACTCAAAAGAGTATATTGCTTCGGCGCTATACCTGAAGTTAAAAAAAAATAAAAAATAATAATAATAATAATAAAATAAGAAAAAACGCAAAAAAAGAAAAAGAGAGGATATCATAAGTAACATAAACGGTCGCGTCACGAACAAAAAGGGACAAGAAAGATTGTAGTACATCAATTGTTATTGTTATAATTATTAATTATTATTATTATTACTACTACTACTACTACTACTACTACTACTATTACTAATATTATTATTATTATTATTAATTATTAA